TGAGGAATAGGAATAGCAATAGCAGTTAGACTTATATACCGCTTCATAGGGCTTTCAGCCCCCTCTAAGCGCTTTACAGAATCAGTATATCGCGCCACAGTCTGGGTCCTCATTTCACCCACCTCGGAAGGATGGAAGGCTGAGTCAACCTTGAGCCGGTGAGATTTGAACTGCCGAACTGCAGATAGCAGTCAGCTGAAGTGGCCTGCAGTACTGCACTCTAATCACTGTGCCACTTCGGCTCTTTTCACCATACCCTAGCTCCAGAGGCTTCCCTGAGCCTCCAGGAGGGCAAAAATGGCCTCCTCCGGGATCCAGAGGCCCTCTGGAGACTGGAAACAGACCTGTTTTTGGATTTCCAGAACTTCTGGTGGGCCCATTTTTCGCCCTCCCAGAGCTTCCACGTGGGCCCTGCACTTACCTGGCATGATTAACGGGCTGCGTGGAGATTCCTAGGAGGGGTAGGGTAGGGTGGGTGGGAGCAGCCAGTCCTTGCAACTACCGGTTTGATGAACCAGATATAAAATTAACATTTGGTTCACCCAAACCTGTGCGAACCAGCTGAACCCTACCCCTGCATTCATGATTCACTTAAGAACTTCAGTGATTTGCTGAAAAACCATTGCGAAAAAAGACGGCAAAATTGGGTGCAACACCCAACCACCACCTTGCTTTGCCACTGAATTCTGGTCCCAATTGTGGCCATAAGTCAAGGACCACCTGTACTTAAGTCCATGATAAGCCCACAACCGCAGAGTCTAGAGCCCAAGAATCCTCACGTTCCAGATATCTCCATGGCTTTCCTTTCAGGTCAATGGACTCTTGTTCCAGCTGCCCCATAACGTCTCTTCCACCATCTCGATCGCCGAAGCTCAGGACAGCATCGTCATCAATCAAAACTCCCAGCTCCAAATTCTCTACAATCCCAATGGCGAAATAACCGTGAAGGTCACCAGCAACCTGGCAGGGAAGTTATGCGCCCCTTGTGGGAACTTTAACGATGACGCTTCGGATGACTTAAAGCTGCCTAACGATCAGATGGCGGGCAACATCACTGAAGTTGTCGATGCCTGGAAGGCCAGGGATTTCTTAGAATGGTAAGCAAGGCTATTTGCAGCTTGTGACAGCTTTAGAAACTATATCATCAGGGTGGCCTTCAACTTATAACCGTAATTGTGCCCGCAATTACGGTCATGAGTTATGCCAGTTGCTAATTGGGTCACCATGAGACTGTGTCTGACATTATAATCTTTATAATCTTTTAGCAGTGCATGTAAAGCAAATCCTGCCATCATTATTGTCCGCAATGGGCACTTTGTTTGCTAGAAATGGGAAGGGAATGTCAAATTGCCATCACACGACTGTGGGACACTGCTAATGGCCATATGTCAAGGTTCCGACTAACAGACCCAACCAAATCAAAACTCTGAGCCTGGAATCTTCCTCATAGGCCAGTTGCTGAGTGCCAAAACATGACCATGTGACTGCAGGGGAGATGCCCTCAGCTGTCAGAATCTCAAATCTAGGTTGTGCAGTAACAGTGGTGGGATTCAGCCGGTTTGCACCTATTCGGGAGAACCGGTTGGTAACTTTCTAAGCAGTTCGGAGAACCGGTTATTGGAAGAAATCTCCTTTTGTTTTTTTTCCCAACTTTACAGGGCTAATCCTGTAAGGAAGGCAGGAAGGAAACATTCTGGTGTTGTTTCTAGCCTAATCTTTATTGCCCTGCTTATAGAAACTGCCTCTCTGGTTAACCCTTATTACATTGTCTCAGCTAAGGTGAAACGCCCATCAACCTGAGTGATGTTGAGTTGGCCATGCCCACCCAGTCACATGACCACCAAGGCCCACCTACCCTGCTGGTCATTAGGGCAGAGAACCAATTGTTAAATTATTTGAATACCACCACTGTGCAGTAAGTAGTCCTGGAGAGCTTCGTTGCTGCTTTGAATGGCCCCTAAGCAGCTGGTCATAAGTCAAGAACTACTTGTAGTTTAGTCTCATGGGAAGCCACTGTTATCGATCACTTCCTGCAATGACTAAACAGCAGTGAAGAATTTCTATTCCTGTACTTAGTCTTCCAAAATACGAAATACGCAATGCATAGGCTCAGATTGAACCTTCATAGTGAACCGGTGAAATGAGGCTTTCAACAACTTGAAGTTAGCGCTACACAGCGACAGCAGAACAAAACCGAACAGAATAATAGAGTTAGAAGGGACATTGTAGGTCATCTAGTCCAACCCCCCTCCATCCAAACAGGAGACCCTATACCAGTGTTTCTCAACCTTGGTCACTTGAAGATGTCCAGACTTCAACTCCCAGAATTCCCCAGCCAGCATGGCTGGCTGGGGAATTCTGGGAATTGAAGTCCGGACATCTTCAAGTGGCCAAGGTTGAGAAACACTGCCCTATACCATTTCTGACAGATGGCAGTCCAGTCTCCTCTTGAAAGCTTCCAGTGATGAAGCTCCCACAACTTCCGAGGTCAACTTCTGTTCCATTGGTCGATTGTTCTCACTGTCAGAAAACTTCTCCTTATTTCTAGGTTGAATCTCTCCTTGGTCAATTTCCATCCATTATTCCTTCTCTGGCTTTTAGGTGCTTTGGAAAAGAGGTTGACCCCCTTCCTCTCTGTGGCAGCCCCTCAAATATTGGAACACTACTATCATATCTCCTCTGGTCCTTCTCTTCACTAGCACTAGCTCTTAGACTTATGTACGTCTTCATAGTACTTTAAAGCACTCTCTAAGCAGTTTACAGAATCAGCAGCAATCTGGGTCCTCATTTTACTGATCTCAGAAGGATGGAAGGCTGAGTCAATCTCGAGCCGTTCTGAATTGAACTTCTGGCTATGGGCAGAATCAGCCTGCAATTCTGCATTCTAACCACTTTGCCATAACTTTGTCTTCTGCTTCTTCCCACAGTTATTAATTCCCAAGAGAGCGGATGCTGCTTTGAATGGTAGGTGATTCTCCAAATTACAGTTGCTTCGTCATGGGTACAATCTGAATGACAGAGATATGGTATCTGAATCATCAGACTCTGAGCTGGATTTTTCCTCCTTAAGTCTTTTTCAGACAAAAGGTGGTGGAGTGGGTAGCAGGGGGATACCCAGGAGAATACATTTGCTGCTTGATACATTAATATGCAATCAATTATTAAATCTGGTAGTCAAGAATAGAATCCCCAAATGAAACGGTAGCATATAATAAGCAGATTGCGATCATCTTAATGGCTTGTAGACGTCCCATAAGCATCTGTCTGTCTAGTGTAAAAACCTTTTATCATAAGCTTTATCTTCAACAGGGCCAATTGCTTTGGGAATGTCAGTGGGAACTCCGCATCTGGCACCCCACTGGCATATTCAGAACCCAAAATGTGCAAAACTACTGCTTTCAGCAAGCAAGCATTATAAATTAATACACACGCTATAAATCCTTTGATATCATTCAGATATTGATCAACCCCATTTCCTTAAGTACTTCTGAGCATATTTGTGTGAAGTATCTACACACACACACACACACACACACACACACACACACTATTTAAAGGAGAAGAGGGGATTACGCTGTTCCTGGGATGGGAGTAACACCGATGGTTGAAAATGAACAACTGCATCACTATATGCCCATCTCCATCTCCACTGCTGAGGAATATGCATCCATCCATAATGTGATTTCATTGGACACTAGCTTAATTTTTCTAAACATGGGGGGAGAAAACAAACACAAATACAACATTCCCCAGAATCCTCTTCTTTCTTGTATTATAGGGGTAGTGTTCATGATTAACCCTTAGCCTGGTGCTTGGTGCAAACCTAGGTTTTTGTTGTGGGCCACTGGCAGATTCGGACAGTGAGAAGGTTGGGGAGGAACCTGGGCCAGTCCTGGAGTCTGGGGAAGGCTCTGATGAGAGCTCTGTGTCAGAGGCAGAGAGGGGACCAGGGCCATCTGACAGTTATCAGCTGCCTTCAGAGTCAGACACCAGTGAGGCAGATGAACAGCTGGAGCCTGTTCCCAGTGTGCGCACGCTCAGAGTGGCCAGACGAAGGGAACAGCTAAAGAACAGGGGTTGAATTGAGAGTAAGGCCATAGGTGGACAGTGAATGGCCCCTCCAAGAGGGAATAAAAGAGGAGCGAAAGGAGAGTGGAGTTTGCAGGAGACAATTAATCCATTCCTGCATTCTTGCCAAGTATTGCGGCATCTGAAAGATATCAGCCTGGCCACTCTCCAAGCATGATAAAGGTCGG